AACTGAAGCAAACCTGTAACCAAATCCTCAGAATTATTTAGAAACACTGCTCTTGATTCCTGTCCAAACACTTCTAAAGGCCAACAGTATTAAGCTTGCAAGTTATAGAAGACTGAAGCAAGTGCTGAGCAAAACTTCTTCATTCTGAAAGCTCACCTAACTTTTACCTCTCTCTGTTACATTCGTTTTCTGATATGCAGAGATACCTGTCTCCAAAGGTGGCTTATAAGAAAAATGAAGGTATAATGAAAAGCTGTTCTTTTTAAATTACCTCTTAAAATTTTGGCCCAGTATCTTTCTGACAGACCTGAAAGGGTTTCAAGTGGGTTGGTCAAATATCATGTGGCAGCAGTTCACCCTTTCAGGTTGGCAGCAGCTGTTGCATTAACAAGTGAGGACAACCTGTGATTAGTGGCTGCAGGACTGTACTTTACCCAGGGAATTGATAACTACCCTCAATTGCTGACAGCAGTTCATTTTCTCCAAGGTGAAGGAGTGAATATGAGCCCTTGTATCCGATTATAAGCTCTTCACTCCTGGCTGATTTGGAAGAGCTGAGTGCTGGAAAATCTAAAGAGAAGTGAGATGAGCCAAGCAGAGGTGAAATTTACAGGTTGCATAACCCAGCTATAGATATTTCTAGACTCTCTGAATTCATATACCCAATTTTCTGCATCTGTACTGAGACAGATATACAAAAAGATTTTTTCCTTCCAACTTTCTTTGATCGCACAAGCAATCAGAGCATATTTATTAGTTATGTAAAGAGTAGCAAAACATAATAAGTAATGACACAGACATGAAGCCTTGGTTATTTCTTACAGCTTTACACTTTTTATTTACTGAGGATATGTGGAATTTATCAGATAATTGAGCATTTGATTCTGCCCTGAATAAAGCTTTGCTTCTACAAGCACAGAGTAGTTTAAGACTCTACATGTCTCATTTGTGGATGGTAATTAGATCTTTAAGCATTTAATTGGACTTGTACACAATTACAGGTAGTAAAGAAAGTGTTTTAAAAATGAATTTCCATCACCAAATAAGTTTGCTAGATGGTCTTATTTTCATATTTAAAACAAGTGTACACTGACTGTGCAAATTTCCTATCTTACATACTTTTTCATGAGAAGTAGGACTAGATGTGAAAGGGTGGTATCTTCTAATTTCTTTAGTCTTTAGTCATTTGCTCAGGCTATCAATGATGGATCCAGTTAACGATAGTAACTGGTAGCATTTTCCATACAGTTGCATTTTATCTGTGGTCCCACTCAATCATCCATTTTACATGGAAAGATCAATGACTGATTCATTTAGTATAATAACAAGTAATCATTCAATATAGTCATTATTATCATAGCAAATTGTAACTCCTGATCAACAGCAACAAATCCATAACTTCTCTTGAGCTGGCAATCTGTAGGGAACAATTTTCATTCCATTATCAACCGCAGTAGTAGTATTGTGTTATTAAGTATTTTTGTTCAGTATTTTGTTTTTGCTCAACGAAATAATGAAATGTATGTGTAGAAAGTCAGAGCCCTTGAAATCCTTGATTTTCTTGTGCCTGATGTCCATATTGCAGACGATACACTTCCACAGCAAAGTCCCTAAGGAGTCAGGATCACAAGATGTGTGCATTGTTGTTGCTGTGCATTGCATAGTTTATAGATTACACAGTTTCAAATACAGCTTTGTACATTTTTGGCCATGATAAACTGTGTTAAGTTTTAGAGAGAGCCATGTGAAGGAAAACCTCATAGTGTTGTACTGATATGTTTAAATAATATTTTTTAAGAAAGAATTTTATTTTGGCAAACTCTGAAATAACAGTTCCCCAAACATGGAAGAGATTTCAGAAAACATTGTGTTTGGTGAACACCATAATTCCATTATAGAAACATTACTGCACACGGTTAATATGCAAAATGAAACTGAAACTGAAAATGACAATTTTGTACAGTTTTGCTTATGAACACTGAGTGATTAACTATTCTTAAACCACTTATTCAGTCAGCTTTTTCTTTTAAATTCGGTTTGATTTTCATGTCTATATAAACTGGTAGAACTGTAACATCATCACATCTTACATGCAGAAAAGATCATTTTCATTTCCTCAAAATTATCTAGGTTTCTGTGCATTTGGCAAAGTTCACACGTTACAGTGGCTCCTGTAATAGAACAGATTATCAAGCTTTCTTCATGGTACAGAAGGGATCACTCTCTTCTGTTTTCTACCCTGTAAGCAGAATAAGGAAATAAAATTGCTCTATACTAACTCAGATCGTGAAAAAGGACAGTCTTAGTCCACCTCATGTCATTCTGGGTTTGAGTTTTCTTTGGTTTGGATAACGTCTATTTTTTGTAATCATACTGTTCACATTGTGAACTTTCTCTTTTTAGTTTAAAATTATGATGTAACATTGAAAATCTGGGGAGTTCTCTTCAGAAATTCTACGGATACACTCAGCTAATGAAATTTTAGTGGAACTATGTTAGAGGTTAGCCTTGATCCCTCCAGATGACCATTAAAAGAAACGGGAAAGGTTGCCCAACTGATATTTCACTCGACATGTGGGGATGATCCAACAATGATCTACTCTGTTGCAGTCTAGAATTGGAAACCATTTTAGCAAGCAAGTATAGAAAACTTAGTAATCACTTTGAGAAAGTCTCCTGGTTTAGTTCTCTGGCATGGTATCCATTTTATTTTTTTCTTTGCTTTTGCTTTGATTGCTTATCTTCTCTATATGAAGGAATAGATTAATTCACAAATTCTCTGTCACTGGGCTTTGCTGCTGCCTATCACAATTTGAAGGGTTGTTCAGCTTGTCAGTTCAGTCAATTTCTCCAAGTTTCCTTCCGTCATTTCCTTTGTCTTCTTTGAAGAATCATTCTATTTCAGGTCATTTAAAATTGAGTGGTGTCAGGAAACTGAAATAGGTTTAACAGTAATCTTGTTCTTTTTGTATCATTTTCCTGCTCAAGACAATAAGCCTCAGATTTTCAACCCAGATGTTTATTCAATACTTGTCTTTTCATTTTCTGGCTAAGAGTCTCCAAAGGAGGCATCTATGATACTGTGAGACTTCTCAGTCATGGGCTTGTATCTCAATTTCTTTGCAGAAAGAACAGTCTATAAGATATAGAGGCTTTCAAAAAACCAGAATTCATACATTGGGTTGATTCTCTGAACTCTGAATGCAAATCTGCATGACTTTCACTACCAACTCCATTGCATTTGCTATGTCTAATACTTTGAGACAGTTATTAATTTCGATCTTCCAAATGTTGATAGACAAAGATAGACATATGTCCTATATTATATCCTCCAGGACATTACCAAGTGTTTAACACTCAGGTAATTGTTTTTGCTCTTATCAGAATGAGAGTTTCACCTTGTTTCTCCAATCCACTAGGAAGTTTGAAATGTTCTATATTTAGTAGCTATCGCACATTAATGGCTTCAGTGATCTTCAGTGATTTTGGTGGCTTTGGCAACAAAATTTTCAAAGGGAATAGACTTGATTTTCACAAATATGAGAAGATGGGAAATAGGAGGAGAGATAGAGGGAACAAATCAGTGTTAATCCTAATCTGTGATCTCATGCATAAGAATTTGCTGTACCTTTTCAGTTACTGCCAATTCCAGTTTTCTGCCAATTCCAGTTTTCTGCCAAATGTCAATTTCTGCACAGAGTGTGAAATGCTTTCCATTTCCAAATTTATAACAGATCTGTTGGATTTGAACTCACTCCAGTAAGTTGCAGCTAATTTAAATACATCACAAGCAAAATGGAAAAAAGATTTCACTTAAGCAGAGTGAGGGAAATGAGCACTGCCCATCTGGTCAGATCAGACTCCTTGTAGATGAGGCTGATCCTTGTAAAAATCATTTAACAAATGCTGTAGTTCATCAGTATGAAGATAAATGACAAAATGCCTATTGTTCGTTTTACTGGTAAACTAGTGGCTAAACATAACACTTTGTACAAGATATTGTAACAAGGAATACAAAAGAAACAAAAACAACAACAACAACAAAAACCTGATCAAATGAGGGTAAAAAGGAAAATGTAAATTAGTTGTGTTACACCTCTCCTATACTACTGATTGTATTTTGTTGACCCTTGTCAAATTTTTTGTTTTCCATATTGGGTAAGAAAACCTACTATGAACCTGATCAGTAAAATTCTAATACAAACTTGTGTTTCTGACATAACAGTCCTCCATGCAGACCTAAGTTCTCACTTGTCAGGGAAAAATGTAAGAAACTTCTGCAAGGCAGGCAAGGAGACAGATGTTTTGAATCAAGTAGGTGTATGTAGTCTTCTTCATTAAATTATTATTAAACAGAGTTTAATCATTTGGAGAAGAGAGATCCATAGTATGAGCCTCTCAGATAACTTCCACTAGAAGCACATCTGTCTAAACATCTATTTTGTTGATTCTGCATCATATTTGATATGATTAAATGGCATTAGACACTGTCATGTCATTTGGTATGATTCAGTTTCAGATAAACATGATGAAAGTGTTAGGTAACCCAAGATTAATGAGTAAACTGTTTCATCTCCCTCTAGCACATTTCATCAAGGAGAAATCAAAACGTTTCTCTGCCTTGAACAGAATCATTCTCCCTCCTGTCTAACCAAAGGCCTTGTGATCTTGGGGCCTGGCATGACTGAAAAGGGTGCCTCTTTGCAGTATTATATAGTCTATATTGCCTAAGCAAAATTTCAGGTTCATAAACATAATGTCAACTTGGCACCACACTGTTTTCTCTTTCTGAAAGCCTTTCTTATCCTTTTGGAGTTCCTCTCTGCTCTTCACGCTGATTTTTAGATTCGGACCCTGAACTCCCCAGGAGCTGCCTGTGGTGCCTTGCAGCCTCAGATCATGCAAGGAGATAAAGCCTTTGGAGTCCCAAAATTAATCATAAAAACAAGAGAGATCATCATGCCTTCAACAGTTCAAACATGTTTATTCAAACAGGAGAATGGAAAACTAGGTCAAAGACCAAACCCAAGCAAAATAAGATAGGAAAAAACAGCATGCAGATAAGATACACAGCGTACAGCCAACATAACGTGATAAAGCAAGTAACACACAAACCATATAAAAAAAGATTTCTCAGGCATAAACATGTAGATGCATAAGTGAGGGAACCTGAGGAAGGCTATCATCTTCTTTCCTCAGATCCAGTAAATGCTGTCAACTGTTCCTTCATTACTGTTGATGCATTGGTAGTTGGCATTCTTACTCATTTCTTACTTTGGAAAGTATTCAGCTTGTCTCCATTTGAATTTTCATGGGGTCAACTTGAAGTATAGTATCTGTAGGTCATGTCTCGGCAATATTTTCAAGTAGGACTAAGACAAGAACTAAAAGACTCTCAAAGAAACTCCTACTTTGGCTCTTTTCACTGTTTTGCTCTTAGGGGTGGTGTTGTCACAAAAGTAGGAATTGGCAGTGATTATTTTCTACATTTTTTAATGCTGATATGCTGGGTATTTCAGGCAAAACACCACTGCTTGTCTGAATGGGACTGTGTACCAGCTTTTGCTGTGCTAGAAGACTTGGCACTGAGATTGCTGACGCAGCTTTTCAGGAGCCTGTGCAAAAGCCCTCCCACTAACAGTAACTGTAGAGATGGAAACAGTATCATGAGAATGCAGTAAACAGCTGTGTTGTTGGAGGTACTGGTTATGGAGCTGCGCAGTGCTTTTGTTTTCAGAGCACACTGTGCACAACTTGAACTTGTACCAGCCCTGATGTGATGTATCAGTATCAAATATACAAACTGACTTCTAATGACTGGAGTGCTCTAAAGGACTGATGAAACTTGAAGTAAGCGGGACAAGATCATGCTCCATTGCACTGTGATGCTACACAGCTTCCTTCTTTGCCATTGTGTGGCATCAGTTGCTTTCCTTCTCAGGAAACTCTAAAATGTGATCAGCAGGGAATTCCATTTCTTACCTGTTAGAGAAGAGTAAAATAGTATGGAGAAGAAGTATCATGATAGAAAAATGAGCTGCCTGAATGAGGCTTCCAGGTCCTCCTGATAACATGGCATTCACTAAACATTTGTCACTCACATAGAGATTAAGCCCCTTTTCTTGTTCTTAGGCATGAATAACCACTCACTCTGGCAGAATGAGTTCCTGTAGCAGTGTATGATTTAAAGCTTCCCAAAAGCCAGTGTGTGAACAATTTAAACACTTGCAGGACAATTATATGGGCTGGGCTGAAGTTTTTTCTTAGGTTACCTATGTTCCAAGCAGGAAAAAATCTCTCGAGCACTCTAACCACCCTCACTGGTCTCAGAATGACGTTAGCTCAGGAGTTCTTTGTGAACATGAGAAGAAAACTTCTTTGCTTTCAAAGTGACAGAGCACTGGAACAGGTTGTCTGGAGAGGTGGAGTCTCCTTCACTGCAGATACTCAAAACCTACCTGGACACTTCCATGTGTAACCTACTGTAGAGAACCTGCTTTAGCAAAGGTTGGGCTAGATGATCTCCAGAGGTCCCCTCCAACACCTACATTTCTGTGATTCTGTGTTCTGGAGATAGAGCTGGGGCAAGGGAACTTGTCACCACCATCAGCATCAAAAAGGCCACAATCATCTGACAACATGGCATAACTGCCTCACCATATAGGAATTTCATAACATAGTCTTTCCTGATAGTTTGTTCTAACCTAAACATACACGTATATTATTTTTGGCTTCTTAAATCTGTAACAGTTCTTGGTTTGGCCAGCTCTGTTGCTAGATGAATGGGAAATTTTCCAGCTGCAAAATTGTGAGTATGTGCTCCTTGTTCACAAGATCCTTGAGGTTGGTTTTTTTTCTTTTGCACCTCACACTGCTCTCTTCTGAGAATTTGGCTTGGTGACAAAGAAACTAGCCAAGAAATGGGCATGCCAAAAGTATCATATCTCAGTACTGAGGAATGGTGTCACTATGTTATGGTAAATGATAGGCTATAAGCACCTTCTAAGATGTCTTTGCAGAGCAGTGGAGGTGTCAGATTGTGTCCAATGCGGTGAGGCTGAGGCCATGCTACTTGCAAGGACAGAAAGAGAATAAGTAAAGAAATAAATCATAGCAGAACCTCTGTGTACTCCATGTTTTAGAAGCAGTCAATGGTATGGGACATGAGTGCAAAATCAGAGAAATATCAATATATCTTGTATATGGAGACACAGCTTTAATATCAGAAGACACCAAGAGCTGTGGGGAACAGTCTTCAGCAAAAAATTGATGTGCAGCTCAAATGCATATTTGAATTTTTAAGAACTGACTGAGATGCAGTGAATTCCAGAATTTGTATAGTCCTCCTAATTGCATTTTCACACACTCTTAAATTAATGACAAAGTGCTTCCTAACATTGTTTTACTGCATCTTCTGTGAAAGATACATTTCATGTTGCACTGCCGTGTGTCTATAAAAGAAGATAAAATCCACAATAGTTAAAGTGAACTTAGTTAATATATTTGTTCAGTACTGTTTACAGCAATCAGAAAAAGTAGATAAAATAAATGCAACAGAATATATATTTGAACCAAAATTTTAGGACTAGAAGGAATGGCTTCAAGCTGCGCCAGGGGAGATTCAGGCTGGACATTAGGAAATACTGCTTTTCTGAAAGAGTGGTCAGGCACTGGAATGGGCTGCCCAGGGAGGTGGTGGAATTGCTGACCCTGGGGGTGTTCAAGGGACATCTGGATTTTGTGTTGAGGGACATGGTTTAGTGAGAACTATTGGTGATCAGTGGATGGTTGGATGGGGTGATCCTGTGGGTTTTTCCAACCTTGGTGATTCTATGATTCTATGAAAATAAACAAAGATACTAAAATCCTCAGGGATGTATTGAAGGGGTATATTAACATACCTATGATTCAAATTCACTTCATTCAATTACATTCTATTTACTTGCATATTCTATTTCTTAAGAATATAATTAACCCCTCCTTCTCCCCCCCTTCTTGTGATGCTGGGACCTTACAGTTTTTTCTTCGGAATACTTGAGAGATGAATAATTCATATGAGGCCTTGAAAATGTAGCTTGCTGGAAGAATTAATCAAGCTTTTGCAGCTTGTTTTATCTGGATCTAAAGAAAAACATATTTTAATTAAATGCTAAAATAAAGCTAAAATGACACATATTAAAATGTGTTGGTTTTCTTACGAATATATCATTCATTGAATAGAGAACAGAAAGAAGACAAACGTATAACAGTTTTGAAAACTTGATATATTTATCTGTAAGTGCACAAAGATTTATCAACAGTTCAGCAACATATGAGGGCTGCTCCAAAAACAATGCCTCCCATTTTATTGTGCTTGCCCATGACATCAGAGGCAGACGTTGGTGGTATGGCAGTAGAGGTTGAACCTTCCCACCAGTATTCCATTACATGTTGTTGCCTTGTGACAGATGGTAGCAGAGGGGCAGTCTGACATAATGGACATGCATATGAAGCAAAGGTGCGTCACTAAATTCCTTCATGCTGAAAAAATGGCACCCACACCCACCCACAGTTATTGATGGTGCAGGCTTTTAGGAATCCAGCATGCTTTTTAAATCACTGTTGAAAATGCATAGCTAATGATGATGCCTATTGTTGAAAAATAGTGCTTTGTAGCTGAGAATGTGCTCTATCAAACAGTGTTATTATGCTCTTAGCATCTGTTGTAGTCTCCATGGAAATAAATAGGAGGCATTATTTTTGTAGCAACCTAGCATAAATTATTTTGGCAATTCCATTTACAGGTCGAAAGATGTGTCTTTCTTACTTTTGTTGGCACTACAGCCAACATGCATAATTCAAAAGTTTGCTGCATGGAGTCTAAACTTTACTATTTGCTCTTTTGGTATCATCTCAAGGGATGTATTAACTTACGAGGAGAATGCTGTGGTTTCTTAGAAAAAAACAGCAACAAAATAAGACAAAAACTTTGATATTTTGCACAAAGAAAAATAAAATCATCTCAGAAAAACAATTAATTTTCCTTTGATGAAGTATTTTTTGCTTAATATTAATTGTAATAACTAGAAAATTAAGGATTAAAAATAATTTTTTTGAAAAGTGCCAAAACTGCCAGCGAACAACTTCTTCATGACTGAATTGTTAGTAGAGAGCTGACGATTTGCAGACGTGCCACCCACTGCAGATTCTGCTTTAGCACTTCTGTTCTCAGTCTCTCATCAGCAACTCTGTGTCTCTGTGTCTCTTCTGTAGGTTAAATATGATAAAAATTTCATTCCCTTGCTACCTCACAGACTGCCATTTAATTCTTTATCAGCTCCTCAAACTATCATGTTTTTGATAGGCTACATTTCCTGTTTGGCTTGCCAGGATATTTGAAGAGTAAAACAAATGAAGGAAAAGGTAAATGGTGGCCCTGCTCCTTGGAAAGAGCTAACAAATCCAACAGGTTTTGATAATTAGTTTTAGCACAGCAAACGTTCTTTACATAATGGAACTACTTCATTTCTTTAATGCAATTCTCCTTATATCCAGTCTTTTCAATATCTGTCAATAGTAGCATGCAAAAAAAATTGTTGAGACAGTGAATAACTGTAGTTATTGAAAGATGTGCAAAAGACATGATCTGAAAATGTTAATGCATGTACTACACAGTCCTGCACAGGGAAATCCATTCTTATCACAGATTCTCAAACCATTAAATTAAAATCCAATTCCCTTCAAATAAAAGTGATTTAAAATTTCAGTACAAATCTGATTGAAAAGGTAGTTGTGGGCAGGCAATGAGACTGGACAATTAAGATGTGTAAAATCTGATCTTCCAGAAGAAGAGCGGGGGAGAAGGGAATACTCTACTTCATTTGACAAAAAATACAGCTTTCTTTATATTTGTGTGGAAGGACACTTTCACTGAAATTGTTCAGTCCTCTCCAAACATTAAAGCCATTACCTCTACAGTCACTCAGCTTAGCTGAGTACTGCTTTGAAGTAATGCTGAACGATCTCAGATGTTACACTACTCTTACACAAGGTTAAGTAATAAGGAAAATTTTAAAAAGTGGCCACAGAAGTGAATAGAATAGAACATCCAAAAACAAGTTCCTGAAAAAGATGGGCTTTGTGCTCATGTATTCCAAGAACTGAAAGAGATGTTTATTAGATAAACCTTTTCTAGCAAATAATTTACAGGTCATCTTCAAGGTAAAGCTCAAAATAGACTGTTCTTTAGTTTTTGTTGTTGTGGCTGAGATGTCTAAGAACAGGTCATACCAGGTAATGTGTGGGATTAGGTGGGAGATTTATTCAGTTAATTTAATTTTTAGATCCAAGTTATACATTTCAAAGTATCCATGATTCATAGGATAATATATAATTCAGCGTTTGGTTTATTTTATAATTATGCACACACAAATGTTAAAGGAACAGTTTTTAAGGTCACAGTATTAGTCAAATGACGAAAATACTCCTATAAATCCATTTTTAGAAAGCTTGTGATTACATACCTTTGGTTTCACAGGGTCTCTGCCTCTTTAGGCACAAAATGTGGATACAAACTGAAACTTGTGAAGCTAGAGAGATCTAAAAGGACATTCAGTAGGACTTCTACAGTGTTCATGACAGAAGCTGAAGAGCCAGTAGTGACTGCAGCAAAGGCTTCCAAAGGAGAAAAGAACAGGTCAGTGTTTAAAGCAACTGACTGCTGTCCTGAGAGCTAAATTATATCCTTGCCCCTGAGTTTGTAATTGATGCTATGTGTGTCACTTACAATATATTTATCATAGATGGCCCCTAACCAATTTTTTAAGTCTGGTAAGAATCTAATTTATTGATGTACTGAGTACTTAAATCTGGATCTGAAGCCAATGAGAGCTGTAAGCAGGTAAATGAAGTGTGGCATAGAACTAAATTGTTACAGAAAATCAAGTCCTAGGCTTCTCTCAAATGAGACACCAAATCTTTGTGGATTCTTTTCACTCCTTTGAATCTCAGAATTCACACTTCTTAGCTTAAAAAAATATGTAGGTTGCCCTGAAAGTAGTTCCTCCCAATCATTTCCATGTGAGCATTCTGTAGAAAAATTATACACATCCATCCATGAAGCAAGCAAAAATTCACAGAGCTGGTGATTGTTGGTGATGTGGCACAGGAGTTTATTGACCACAAATAAAACAAACCTCAAAGTGGAAATTCATAATAAGACAGAAAAAGAGGTGACTGATAGAATAAGTTGAGAGCTGAGCTACTTTCAGACATTCAGAATAAAAGGAGCTGCAACAACAGGTAGGGACATATGCTTTGAATAGTGTATCAAAGCACCTGTAAAATGTTCTGCTCTTTTGGAGATTTTTCACATAACAAGATAAACATAAGAGGTAATTCTCACATATGCTTGTTACCAGCTAAGCTGCAAATAATTTTCTGTTTCAATATTGTAGCTTTGACAAAGGTAATCCTTCAGGCTTTACTTAGGAAAGCCTGGTTTCTGACAGGAGGTCGATGGAAAGGCCCAGGAAAGCATATGGTGCCGTATGCTCACCTGGCATGCCTGCTGTACGAGTCTGATCCTACAGGCAGCCTCCCAGCAGAATGCTTATTCTCCTTACAAACAGGTGAGGAGCTGCTGTGAACTATGACCTTATCATCTGAGATAAGGCACAGCGCTCAGGCAGTCAAATGAGTCACAGTAACATGGGATCACACGCCGCCCACGGCTGTGTCCTTACCCACAACTCATGTTACAAAAAAAAAAAAAAAAAAAAAAAAAAAAGTGATGCAATGCTTCCTTGTGGATCAGGAGCAATTCAAAGAGTTCAGATTCATGGTTCACCACTCTGAAAGAGTCACAGGATCATGGAGGAGTCACAGGATCATGGAGTTGGGAAGGATCTTCAAAGGTTACCCAGTCCAACTTCCCAGCAATGAGCAGGAACATCCACAGCTACATCAGGTTGCTCAGAGCCCCTTCCAGCCTGACCTTAACCATCAGATGAGGTAGCATAATGTAGGGCAGATTTTGCCATGGGATAGGGTTGACAAATACAACAAAATAGTTGTGCGATTATTTATGGGAAGAAAAAAGCAAATATTTTTTATACACTGCAGAAAAGTGCTTGGAGGTACAGGGCACCCCTCACCCCCCCAAGCTGTACTGTGTTCCACTCGCACCCTCGGTACGTGCTGCGGGTCTGTCCCTGGCACTGCGGGGACGCGGGCGGGGCCCGGCACGGGGCTGGCGGCAATGGGGCGGGATGACCCCTCCCGTCCCGTCCGGTCCCGTCCTGTGCCGTCCCTCTGCCACGGGACTCATATAGGAGTGGATCGGGACCCGGGCCGGCACTCGCTGCGGAGTGAGCGGCCCCGTGTTTATCTTTTAGTCCGAGAGAAGCATTCTACTCGCTGCCATGGCCTCGGTACCCTCCGCCGGATGCCTCCTGGCCAAGAACCAGTACTACCGCAGTAAGTGCTCAGGGACCGGCAGCCCCATCAGGCTCCGAGTTTGTTGCAGTATGAGAAGGTTAGAAAGTTTTTCAGGTGAATGAGCTGGAGGCAAGAGTGGGATTTTGCTATATGCGTATGTTTTGCTGTTATTTTTATTTTATTATTATTTGCTTGGGGATATATTTGTTTTTGTTCCATAAAGGAACTGCAGTTTTAATGAGTATTTGCTTCTGGTTATTCATATACACTTTTTTTGCCTGTAGAATGGTTCATTAAGGCTTTGCAGTATTAATCTTTTTATTATAAACCGTGACATTGACAAAGCATTAGATCAACAAATCCTGGCTTCAAGCTGTACTTTATTTTGCCTTTGCAGGCTTGGATAGAATGCATAATCAACACACATTCTTGTTTCTGTATACATGAAACACTTTGAGAATGCACCTGGTCTGGTTAAGATCCATTAGATAGCTCGCTATCCAGTAGTGCAAGGATGGTACTCTTAATTGTATCACAATGGAAAGCACAGAATTTTCTCTCTTTTTTAATTATTATTATTATTATTTTTTTGCACTTGATTACTGTACAGTGTATACGTGATCATCATAAGGCACATCACTGATTTCAGTGAAAGCTGGACAAGGAGATCTCAGTGTGCTTTCAGGTGATGAGAGATCAATGTAGGTGAAAGGTTTCAACTAAACAACCATAGCAAAATGGTACATAAAATATTTAAGTCACATTGTAGCTAACTACTTGTTGCTAAGCTTATCTTATCTTTTAGATTGCTTCCTCTGAGGTAGCAGCAAGTCTGAGAAATTATTGGCGTGGAAATTTATCCATCTTTTTCATTAAATATGTCCTTCTTTTCCATGAACAGCAAGGCAGAACTCGGAATCCAGCGTTTCTTCCAGCTCCTCCTGCTGTTCCGATCCTGTGAGTGTTGCAGAACAGGACAAAACATTTAATGGTACTGCTCTATGCTTTCAAACAGTCTTCTCAGTTTCACCTGTTTGTTATTCTGTGAGTGTCTTATGGTGAGGGCTACATCTCTTTTGGCAGGGTTACCTGAATTACTTGATAAATGCTGGTGGATAAAAAGTTTTTTCCATTGTGAACCATCTCCGCCAACTGTTGGCAGAAAAGCACTATCAGCAAGCAGGTGAGTCCTGGTTTTGCAGTGATGGGGGCAATTGACTCATTCCATTTTTCCTTTGGTAAAACTGTTACTAAACAAGTCATAATCGGCTAAAACGGTATGGAGGCACAGTGCTATTTTGATGACTTAAATAAAAGATTCTGCAAATGTATGGCCTTAAAAGCTCCCCATGTTTACATTTTAAAAGCTGAACACACACTATATGTTATGTTAGGGACTATTACTGTCATTTATAGCAATGATTATTTAATCCTTGACCCACTGCACTTGTACTCCTGTTTATGCATTTCCACTTAACTTTATATTAAAAAGTTAATATGAATGGAACTAAAACTTCTGCAGATAAATACCTCTGCAAAAAATATAGTAACTCTACTCCTAACCTTTTTGAATCTCTATTTCTGCAGTACCAACAGTTGAATATGAAAGCAAGCTGGATTACTGTCTGAGATAATGCGCACAGACTTATTTTTTCCAAGAGGCTTGGGATCTTCTGAGTGTCTGGGTTCAGCTGCAAGAGGAAAACAAAACCTTTAGGAGGGACGAAAGGTGTACTTTCAAAAGATGTCAGGAGCTTAAAAACTATTGTATAATGGAGATGTCGATGGCTTACCTTCTATGGAGTTGCTATAATTTTAGATGACTCTAATGAAAGTTACTTGGATTAAATAGCCTGATGACTTATTTGGATACTAAAAAAAAAAAAAAAAAAAAAACCAAAACAACCAAAAAACAACAGTAAGATAGTATAGGTTTAAAAGTATGTTATGGAATGACTTTGCAATAGGTGATTCTACATGAAGTTTTACCTATTAAGGTATCAATTCTGTAGACATTCGCTGCTGTAAACGCATCACAAACAGATCAGTCCTACCCTATTGTGTATATTTTCTACCTGCTGTTCTGTATCAGTTATAGGCATCAGAGTTACAAAGTTGTTTGCTAATAGCTTTGCTTTCGGAAAGCCCAATTACACACAGAAAAGCAATAATCTGTTTGCTGTGTTCCAGCTGCATGTGTAGACATCAACCACAAATACATAAATACACTTTTCATTCACATCTATGCACGTTCTTTCTTGAGGACAGAATCCTAATGGACACTGACCTCTTCCAAGCAGATGAGTAATCTTAATCAGAGTTGATAGTCACAGCTCTGTTTTACTTTCAAATTACCCTCATCTTCTTTGCTGCATTTGAAAGACCTGCTTCTTCTCAAGTGACTAATCCTACCAGCATTTACTGCTGTCCATCAATTTAGTTTGAAAGGTGTAAGAGCTGGCAAAGTATTCAACTCAAAGTGATAACATTAATGTTAATAACAAAGTCTATCTTTGTCAGGATACATGCTACTGAAATATACTGTCATACGTTTTCATTTGGTCTTCAGCAGGGCAAAGCAGTGGTTGTTTGTTCTACTGGGATGGCCAAAATGGATCAAAGGTCATAGAAAATGATGTATTTGGCTGGCTGACATCATTTCCGTGTGTTTATCTTTTTTTAATGTACCATCAGTAAATCTACCTGGCCTTTGTCCATCACTGGATGAAGCAACAATAGCAAACATTATCAATGTAAGTGTAACTTCTAAAATAATTATACATTAGTGGTTGTCATGGTAATGCTTAGAACTCTGAAGTGTATCAAGTGACTACTTTGGTTTTGGTGTAGGCAATAAACGTTTGCCCCATGACAACAACAAAATGCAATGATGGAAATATGGTTTCAGGAATCCTCAAATCACTTTGTTATACCTTTTTCCCCTATCACCATTGTGCAATTTCATCATTGTCCTTTCTCTAAGCTTACAGAATGAACTAATTTTGTGGGTTTTTTTGTTTTGTTTTGTTTTGTTTTAATAAGTAAAGATTTAATCAGTACTTCATTTGGCTTATTTTGGGCCTTTAATACAAATGGTATTCAGTGCTTGTGTTTTGCTCCGTGGGTAGTTTTCTGACTCATTTTAATGATGTGAAGTAGGACAATTCAGAATTCCCATTTAAAACTTAATGGAGTGCCTGTCTTCCTTCAACCACTTTAAACTTCAATGTGAGATGAAGACCAGAGGGATGGAACATGAGCTAGCTGAAAGACATTTTTCTATAATGACACATTTTAAAGGAAGGGATGAGCAATCTCATTCTACTGGTTTCAGAAGGGTGATTGTGGCTCTTTCTGAAGATGCTTGCAGCCACAGAGGAGAGAAATGCTACATCCCTTGTTTTCATGAGTAATATAGGATTCAGAAACAAAGACATGAAAAGTGCAGTGACAAGTTTCCATATTGCTCTCTGAGCTTAAAGTTTTTCTGTCCTAATCTTGTCAGAAAGTAAGGTGCAAATGCACTGAAAGTGTAAAGGCCAAAACCAACCAAGCTCCCCTTTTGTTTTTTATGGGAAAGTTGGAGAAACGAGAGATCAGAGAATCATAGAATGGTCTGGATAGAAAAGGACCAATCATCTTGTTCCAACCCCCCTGCTATGTGCAGGGTCACTACCAGCTAGACCAGACTGCTCAGAGCCACATCCAGCCTAGCATTGACTGCCTCCATGGATGGAGGGTGTCACCACCTCTGTGAAAAACTTCTTCCAAATATCTTACCTAAACCTCCCCTCTCAGTTTAAAACCATTCCCCCTTGTCCTGTGCCTGAATTCATCTGCTTAAGCTTCTATGAAGGACTGTTGGTGTAATGGTACCATAATGATGGAAAATCCTACTCTGGAGTAGTGTCCTCTTGACATCTTCATCATATTCTGCCGTGATCGGCGGAGCTTTGAAGTGGTACCACTGCCACTTTCTAGTTATTAGTGCCAGTTCTTCAAAGTGCAGTTACCCTTCAATGGATCAACTGTAATTAATAATAACGTGCCATGTTGCTTAATGACAAATTGCAACGAGGATATGGAAAACATACAATAAAGTGTTTGCTGTAAAATCGCTGCATTTCATTATATCACAGTAAAAAAGAAATGTCAGTTTTCTTGAATGAAATGCAAATATTATGTAATTCTGTGGGAGAACAAAACCAAAACTTAAATGATTTAAAGATAAGTCAGAAAAGAAAGAAATATAAAGGGGAAATTACACTCATATAACCTAAGTCCAGCTTAGAATAAGGAAAATGAGAAAAGAATAAAGTTATTTGAATACCTTATCAGGTAAGACAGATACAAATGTTAGATCAAGAATTATTTGTAACAGAAAAATGCTTTTCTGCTGTTAGGAGGTCTATAGGTAACTCTGTTTTTATGAATTTAAGCTTCACCTGGAAAAAAATAAGCAACAGTGGCAGTGTGTAAGTAGTAAGTTAGACTCAAATCTCATCACAGACTTAGGAACACAGAGGTGAACCTGAAAAAGACAATTTTGCCCAAATGCATTTACATGTAGTGGTAGTCAGTAATGGGATTTCATTTCTTTTCCAAAAGGAAAACATAAGTTGTAATCTAGTAGCATATTTTCATAGCCAAAATACAAGACAGATCCTATTAAGTATTTTGTTTCAGATCATGAAAGATGAAAACTTCCTGTTGAGCACATTTAGAGGCATAAACTCATTACCCTGTATCAATTCTCTTACTAATTCTATCTTATAAAAATAATATTCCGGTTTCTTGACAAATAGTTATTCAGTCCCCATTGAAGGCTGATTCATGACAGAAACCTTCTCTGTCTGTTAATGAGATTTTGTTTCTTGTATGTGCATGTACACACACACACACACACAGACGTGTAAACTGTTTTAGATACTATAGAATACTGTTTCTAAGTATTTGGAAAATTTGAATTCTGTTAGGACAAAACATAAAGGAGTGTTTGTACTAGAGTGTTGGTTTACAGATTCCATTTTGCAATATCAAAGTGGCTAAAATTTAGAAGAAATATTAAAAAAACTGTGTTTTCATGTTAAGAATTTTCTCACTTGATATGAGCTAAGCAGAATTTATGAAAGCATCGTGTTAAATACTGTCACACTATATAGAGCATATGGACAACAGTAAGGACTATAGCTATTTCTGAGAAATGAGAGGGGTTTTTTTTTTTTGTATAGTAGCCAGTTTTTTAGAAGCCATAATAATAAATAAACTCACTTAAGGAACAGATTTTCAATAAAAGAAAGACCATCAAATCAAGTTCAATTTGAGTTGTCTCAAATAGATATTTTTTCTAACACGTGCAGCGATTACAACTCAAATAAACAATGCAGTTTAGCATTCACTTGTAATTTCCTTGAAATTTTTATTCCTCTTTGTGACATCACAGATTCTTGAAGTTTTAAAATAATTACAAAACCTTTTTTTCATTTTGTTTATTTGTTAACTAAACATTCACTATTTCGTTATGAAGACAGACTTGATTTTAACCCCGTTTCTCAAGTATTCTGTAAAGGGAAAGGTAAGCAAGATTCTTTCAGTCGTTTTTATCAGGAATTGATATTGTTTGCAAAGCATCTCTTGGCACTGCAGGTGACTGTGAAAACTTTAAACCATGACCACGTTCAATGTCTCTTAAATTATGGAGGAACTCTGTCAGATTTCTCTTGCTATACACTCTGTCATATGTCATTTTAAGCTGTTCTTGCAATAGCAGATGTGAAACTTACTATATACAGCCCATGGAATATGTGACTTTGTAATAGGAAATGACTATCACCAACAGAGAAGAATATCAGATCGCTATACTGACAGAAAGCCAGAGGAAAAAAGAACAACACATTTTTAATCCCCCCTGCCCACCCACTTCTATCTACCTGAAACTCTGAAAAAGAAAAAAGAAAAAAAAAAGAAAAAGAAAGAAGAAAGAAAGAAAATCACTGTTTCTTTTTATGCCAAGAGAGAAGATTCAGAGATTCAGTTCCCAGTTACTGTGTTCAGAGTCACACTGACTTTTTCTTGAAAGAAGAGCTATAAAAGTGAAAAGAAGAGAGAAACAATACTTTTATTAGATTGACTCATAACAGGAAGAGGAAAGGCTTGTAATCTCAATAAGATGTTGCATTTCTCAGCTGTCAGGCAATCCATCTCCTTAAATCTTTGCCATCTTCAGCTTCAAGGGAATTTATTTTCAGTTATACTCATAAAGCTGATCCTGTAATCTCACTTTACTTCCTTAGCTGAGGTAGCAGTATTGGATGCAAGACAAACATTATTTTTCTCACAATGGGGTACACTGTAGGACAGCCTCTACCATAACAGGACTGGCAGGATGTCAGTCCTCTCATGTCATGAGATTGTAGAGGCTGAGATCATGGAAAAACACGGCAGTACTCTGAAGAAGTTTAAAAAAAAAAACAACACATTTATTCAGCTATTATTATTACTTTCTGTTGCCCTTTTTGCAGAAAGAAAAGCAAGAAAACTTCTTAAACTGACTTTGAATTAGTCAGCAGTAGAAAGTCCACAAACACTGGCAAAAATGTTCAATAGTTGATCACTCTCACCTTTGCAGATCTTCCTCATTTTTTACCAACTTGAATTTTTCCTTGAACAGCGATTCAGAGATTAGTCATGAATGCAGCACTCAAGTAACAAACAAGAAAGTTTGAAAGTGCTGATTCCATCACCTCTTCAAGGTTCACAACAGTGATTTCAGAAGAGGTTATATCATTTTATTTAATCCCCAGCTATACTTACTTCAGGAGGTATTTCAGCACAATAGGAGAAGATCAATAGATGGAAGCTTTTGCTTCTGTGGGTGAAAGCTAAAAGCCAAGCTTTTAGAGTTTTCTTCCCATCTGCAGTTTTCCTATCTTAGAAACAGTGAGTACATACAAACCGTTGCCAAAAAAGCTAAATGAGAAGGAAGAAGGTTATAGTGTAGTATTACAGTAATACAAAAGCATTGGAGAGTTTGAAATCTTGGACCCTAAACTGCACTCTATATCACAATTCTCTGGATAATTGAAATCAATGAAGATATTCCTGAGTATCACAAATCTTAATGTATTTAAAAAGCCCTACTCATTGCAGCCAACTACTTGTATACACACTGCAAACATGTACATTCAAAACATTTTTAATTTCATTTTAAAGTAATTTGTAATCACTTTTGGATTACACATTGTAGTGGAAATGCTAAGTCACAGCCTGAACTAGTGACTGAGCGCCTGCTGAGAAGGCAGGACCAACCCAAGAGAGCTCATGTGCGTGCAATGAACTGAGTGACCAGAAGGGTTGGAGCCAGGATCACCCCATCTCATTTAAGGTTTGGCCATGGAGGTTTTGTTGGAGATCCCTGTGGCCTGCTGAAGGAAGTAGCTTCTTTCCTTTGTTTCTCTGCCTGTTGTATTTGAGCAAGCCCTCACATACTGCAACCTGGGACTTTGCTACTCTGCTGTCATTGCTGCACTTTCTATTGTTACGGCATTATGCCAGTCCTGTTATGCATTTTTTCATTTGATTCCATTGACACAGTATATATAAATAGCACTTTCTTTGAGATGGAGATAGTATTCTAAGTTTTGAAGAAAGCTTTGGAACCTAGAGCAGGTCCTTAAGTAAGCGTATTTTACATGTAATCCAAGAACATATGAATGGCCATTTCCCCTGTGTCATAGTAATGTAAAGTAAAAGGATAATACTAGGAGTAAAATAAGCAATGAGATATTGCTTTGAATAGATGTTTGCCCATTATATTTTAACCAGGTTTAATTCTATTGTGACTGCTTTTGTCTCCTTGTATGTTTAAATTCAGGTGTAATCTAGCATTACCACTGAATCGCATAAACAAGATGTTGAATGCACCAGGCAATTTCCCCATGACATTAGCAGACTGAGTAAAGCCTTGAATATAAAAGGCAACATAAACATACATGCTATGTATGTATTCCTTCTTGTTCTGTCAGAATAAAATACCTGCCTGCAAAATACACAGTCAATTTTAAA